AAGAAGTATATTACTTGTAGTGTACATATGTTGGGTATTTTTTATGTACGTTGTGCGTTCAAGTTCTAAGGTCTCCGATTTTTTTCTCACACAATAATCATACAAAAAATTTGAAACTTCTGTCACTTTTCAACGTAATCTCCCTGCAGCTGTACACATTTTTCACAACGTCGATGCCATGATTCCATGGCCGCTGAGAACGCTTCTGTAGGAGTGTGTTTTGACCACTGGAAAATTGCTGATGCAATAGCAGATTGAAAAACGGCATCCATGTCTCATCCATTGTCACAGTTGATGAAAAGAAAGTCCCACTCATGCCTTCATCACGTGTCAACATCGCCTGGCAAATTTCCATGCGTGCAGCCTTCTGGTCATCCGTCAGAATTCGTGGCACCCACTTGGAGGACACTTTCTGCATTTGCAGGTCTTCATGCAGGATTGTGTGCACAGATCCCACGGAAATGCCAACTTTGGAGGCGATGTTTTCCACACTCAATCAGCGATCCTCCAAAACAACTTTCTCAACTTGCTCGACCATGTTTTCAGACCGGTTGGTGCGAGGCCGAGATTGTTTTGGTTCGTTGTCACACGACGTTCGGCCTTCTTTGAACTGTCGCACCCACGAACGCACATTTTTCACATTCATGACACCATCACCACATGTCTCACTCAACTGGCAATGAATTTCAATGGGTGTCGCACCACGCAAGTGGAGAAAACGAATGATTACTCGCTGTTCTTGTAACGAAAACGTCGCCATCTTAAGTATCAAAAACACTTCTCACTCTCGCCGCTACCACTAGAGTTCTGTGTGCCGTAGAGTGCTGCCATCTCTGTCATGCATTCACAAAGAGTGCACACGTATTTTACACTAAACCGCATATGTCTATCTGCTCCCAGTCCTGAGAAAAAAAATCGGAGACCTTAGAACTTGAACGCCCCTCGTATATATTGTTGGTTTCTTATTGATTTCCTATGTAATTGGGTTAAATTATTATTAAAATGAAAATATTGAAGTGACATTGAAATAAAATGAAGGAACACTTTAGTTCACTGTCATCGTTTTATCTGTGCTATAACATGCCTCATGATGTTTATTTCCGCTTGTTGTTTTTGAGTGTAGACCTATAATATGAAAGCATAGCTTACATTGACTGTTGACTTTGCATATAGTGTTTATCTAGATTATGCTGACTTTTCTTTTATTGTTACATTCCTAACTTTGTGGAATGAGGTACTTTCTTTAATTTTCCCTTATGGCAGATGTAATGGTATTTTCTGTAATACTTTAATATTATAATTAGTAAGCCGTGTGTAGTGTTGTGTTTTTCAATGCATCTGGTTTGGAATGCTTAACTGTGCTATGTACTGTGTAATGTTTTTGACTTCCATGTTTGTGTGTGGTAAATTCTCATGTCAGTGTAATTCTTGGGACAATCTGCACATTTCAGATGGTAGATTCCACTCCTATGGAATATATTTTGTTCTTTTTTGTTTCAGATATTTTTTTTATTGTGTTTGTAGTTTGTATGCCATCTTATGTTTGTTTTCTTAAATACTTATGCCATTATTCTTATTTCTTGTGCATGTAGCCCATTTCTGTTTCTTTCTCTTATGCTTTTGTGTTTATTGTTATTTGTGATAGTTAGTAGTATGTTTGTATTATGATTATTATATTTTACAATTAATTTTTTCTTATAAGGTGTGCATTCATTCTGTTAATTAAGTACCTTATTACATTTCTTTTGTGTTTGTATAAATGATGTGAATTATTATGTATGATCAGAACCATTGTTTTCAGTTTTTGAAATATGTTGTATTCTAATTTGTTTTGTTTGTTTATGATGGTGATATGAAAGTAATTTACTTTGTTCTATGTTTCTGCTTCTATTGTGAATTTTATGTTAGCATGTACTAAGTTGAATGCATTTAGGGTGTCATTGCTATCTGTGTGCTGTGCATTGTAAATCATTAGCATATCATCTCTGTATCAGTAATAACATATGTGATGTTCTGTAAAGTTATTTAAGATATGGGTTTTCTGTAGCTATTGTATAAGTATTTCTGTAGAATGGCTGATGTAGGGGCACCCATTGCTAGACCATTTTTTGTTGATAATATTTTTCATTGAAGTGGATATAGTTTTATTCTGTAACTTTTTCTGTTAGTATCTTTAAGTCTTGTTTTTATTTTATGATCATTCAGTAATTATTATCCAGGCTATCTGCAATTGAATGGTTGTCTCTGCAGTGTGAATGAATGTGTATATGCTTTACATGTGGAATGAATACATTTTGGTATTTTTGTTGATAGTTATTTCTTTTTGCTCTTTTGTTAGGTTTAGGTTGTTTTTGATGTTATGTTTGATAATTGTAACATGTATTTTAGGAGTTCCCTATGTGTTTTGCTACGTATCATGCAGTTTTCAGATAATTATGGGTCAAATTGAATTATTGTTTTTGTGAAGTTTTGGTTTTCTATGCATATGTGGTGCTTCTGCTATTAGGTTTGTATAGTTACATTTGATTCTTATTTATACAGATGATGCGTAAGTTGTACAGTCCCATGTTTAACTGCTGTTTTTTCATGTATAGGACTCTTTATTTCATTCTTTATGAAGATTTTTTTGTATTTGTCTCTGTGCATCATGCTGATAGTGATTTGTTGCCTTAGTTTTTAAGCATGCATATTGTGCAGTTATATTTAGTCCCAATCATTTTCTACTAAAATGTATAGTAGCATTGCATTTAAGTTACACTCCTGTTTAAAACAGAATGAAACTGAACTTTGTGTTGACTGTTTTAATGACTACACATCTAGATTAGGAAACAGGATAACAAGAGATTCTAAACTAAAGAATAGCAAGCATTCCTGGAAGTTTATTGAAAAGTATACAAAATGCATTACGTCCAAGAGCAAGTGCTGTGTGCCCTATGACTTTTTAAAAAATTGTCAGATCTTTGTTTCTCTTAGAGACTTCAAATCCATGCTGATAGTTGTACTTTGTTGTATAATTTTATCTCACCTATTTTGAGCATGGTATAGGTTTAATGAGTTTCATTTTCACTCTATATTACTGCAGTTTGATTTCTCCATCAGCATAACAGTTATGAAAGCTATGTCATGTGGTGTGACAATAAAGTTTGTGTACTTATTGCGGTAAAAGTCCTACATATCTCAATGCCAAATATTGGTGTGGTGGCCCTCAAAGTACTATGCTATGCACCGATGGCAATGCCTAGTCCACCCTTCAAAACATTTTGGAACTGGTTTTGTCAAATGGCCTTCAGAGCTGCCATTCTATTACTCCTGATGTTGTCAGTGTCATCAAAATGCCTTCCTTTCAGTATTTTCTTTATCTTCAGGAACAGAAAAAAAGTCATTGGGGGCTAGATCCTGTGAATAGGGAGGGTGTTCCGATACAGCTATTGTTTACTAGCTAAAAACGCCCTCACAGACAGTGTCTTACGAGCAGATGCATTGTAGTGATGTGAGATCCATGAATTGTTGGCAAAAAGTTCAGGTCATTTCCATCTTAATTTTTTCATGCAGTCTTTTCATAACTTCCAAATAGTGAACTTGGTTGTGGTACAAACTCATAATGAACAATCGCCCTAATAATAAAAAAAGTTGGCAACATTGTTTTGACTCTTGATTTGGACTGATGGGACTTTTTCGGTTGTGGAGAATTGGCAGTCTTCCAATGTGCACTTTGCCGCTTCATTTGGTCATGTTGTTAGACCCATGTTTTATCACCTGTAATGACATGGCCATAAATGTCATCTTGCCTCTCCAAAAGGTCTTGGCAAATTTTAACTTTGCTTTTGTTCTTTGGTGAGCTCCCTTGGAACCATTTTTGCACACACCTTCCTCATGTCAAGATCTTCAGTTAAGATTTTCCTCACTGTTTCTCTGTAATATTCACTTGCTTTGCTATGCTCCTGATAGTCAACCGACGATTTGCACTCACAATTTGACAAACTTTTACAATGTTTTCTTCAGTTCTGCTAGTTGCTGGCTGTCCTGATCTCTCTTTGTCAGTTGCACTTTCTCTTCCCTCAAAAAAGCGTGTCACCCACCTGTAAACTGCTGTTTACTTCATAGCATTATCCCTGTAAACTTGCACCAACATCTCTCTGATTTCACTTCGACTCTTGTCAGGTTTAACAAGAAATTCAGTGTTCATTCATTGCTCTAATTCAAGCTCCGACATTCTTGCAGCGGCACACCAAAACACACTCAGACAATAATAGACGCCTCTCAGAAAGAGACTGCCATAGATCAACAGCAATACAGCTGTGAAAGGCTGATATGCCAACATCATCAAACCACACCGAGGTTTCTGTCCACTTTGCTACAGCAAGCACATTGTGGCGAGTGCGCGAACTTTATTGTCAAACCTCATACTTAAAATTTTGCACCTAGAATGTGGTCTCAGTAACTGTAATTCAGTTATTTCTAACATAGAATTTTATGTGTTGTTTTTACAGGCTTATGCACACACACACATAAAACACATGTACTATAATATGTATAAACAATGGTTTTCCATTTGTAACACCATATTTCACTACATTTAAAGAATCCACCCTGTTCAAGATTGAAGTGAAGAATGAAAAGATGTGTATTTTAAATGTAAATAACTGTAGTTCTTACACTTTTCTTTGTAAATTTTGCCTGAAAAGCTTGAGATTTCATTTCGGCAGTCAGCTGTACAGTTTTATCAGTTGTTTTAATAACATAGATGAAATTATAACACAGCCCAGATTGAAAAATCTAGCAGCAAATAATCACTTGTTAGTCATCAACTGATCCAGTACATGATTGAATTACTTGTACTGCATATTTCAAAATCGCTATGTGTGTAACAATCTACAGTATTACATAATGATATAAATTTAATTTCTGGTGAAATATCAAAATAATTGGAAAGTGTTACTATAATATTGGGAATTAAACGTAGAACACATAACACTAATTTAATGTTTAATGATACATACAGTTACGTTTTATGGTGCATAGATTGGCAGGCAGGGAGGCTAGCATTGTGTAGAACCAATCGTCAATTAATGGTACAAGCTTCTCCAACATTGTAAGCAGGGTTGGAGATGTCTGCATAAGAAAAACATAAAACAATAACAAAGTTCAAATTTGACACAAATTTATCTTTGAAGGAATTGCCATTTGGTATGTCTCATAGGCCAAATATTAATACTTTTATCTCTTGAGGACTGTGACACTAAGTTGAAACTCCACAAAATGGCCTTTAATTTTATATGGAACACTGAGTTCCTTAAAACTGTGCTGAAAATCGATATTAAAACACAAGTTTGTGAAGAAAAAAAGTTATACATTAAGACGAGGTCAATGTGCCATGTGCTAAACAGATTGATAATACCAAAAGCATTTTTTTGATATAATTGCAAAATTCTAATTTCACTTGCATTGTTCTCTCAGAATTAATTATGATTATATAGAGAAGTGAGAGCCCATCACATGACCTCTGCTTACTAGGGATAGCAAACGCAAAAATAAAGGTTAAAAAGACATCGCTACCTTAACTGTGATTTTGTTCTGTAACAACACAGCATAAGCAGTCCTAGGGAGTGGGCAGCATTGACTGCGGGACAGCTGTGGTCTGCTTAATGTATAGATGTACAGACTTGAGTATGCATGAAAATTGATGCTCATAAATACAAGGGTCGTACTGAAAGTCATGAGCAACAATTTTTTGTAAAGTAACATGCTTTATTATTGACAAACAAAATACACCACCTCAATCTACAGACCTTTCTTTATTTTTCCACATAATCACCACTTCTTTGGACACATTTCTCCCAGCGTTCTGGGAGTTTGAAAATTCCCCTTCTGTAAAATTCCATTCCAGCCATCCGAAGACACTGACGCACTGCTTTCTGAATTGCCTCCCATGTGTCAAAACGTTGTCCACGCAGCTGATCCTTCACAAATACGAAAAGATGGTAGTTGGAGGGTGCCGGATCAGGGCTATAGGAGGGGTGTGGAAGAACTTTCCATGCCATCTTTGCAATTATTTCCAATGTGAGGTGAGCAGCGTGGGGACAAGCGTTGTCATGCAGGATCATAATGTTTTGTCCTGGACGCTTATTGCGCAATGCACGACGGAGCTTGTGCAGCGTCTGGACATAACGAGCAGCATTGATCGTTTGCCCAGGTTCCAGGAATTCGGCCAGAATAAACCCCTCTGCATCGAAGAAGACTGTGCCCATCACCTTCGCAGCTGATGGCACTGTCTTTGCCTTCTTTTGTGATGGAGAATGCAAATGGTGTCATTCCCTACTCTGCCGTTTTGTTTCAGGCTTGAAATGCTGAAACCAGCTTTCGTCACCTGTCACAGTACAGAGCAAAAATCATTGCCTTCGTGTCGATATCTCTGCAGCAGTTCTGAGGTGATGGCTTTTTGCTGACCTTTGTGGTCTTCAGTCAATAACCGCAGGACCCAACGAGCACAAACTTCCCTATAGCCCAAGCTTTCAATCATCTCCTGTACTGCACTGTGCCCTATTCCAAGTTTTCGGGCTCTTGTGTCCACAGTCACATGCCTGTCATCTTGAATGATCTCATCCACTCCTTCCTTGTTGCATTCAGTTGAGGCTGTCTGAGGACGACCATCCCAAGGCTCATCTTCGATGCTGGTGTTCCCATCTTTAAAATGTTTCACCCATCTTCAAACACTGCTCACACCCATGCACACACACTTCCATAAGCACACTGAAGTCTCTGGTGAGTTTCTGCAGCAGGGATTTCCTCTTTCACAAGAAATTCAATGACAGCACGCTGGCGAAATGACATGTGGTTGTTGGCGATTTTGTTAGGAGTGATACTGGTCACGTGGTGCAAGCTATTGACGTCACAAGACACTCAAGGTTAACGCAATAGCTGGTTCCACCTACCACCACACTCTCTTCCATCTGCTGTTCCCAGGTTGCATGCAAAAAAAAGTTGCTCATGACTTTCACTACGACCTACGTATCTCTGCATGTTAAATGTGTGCTGTTCACAAAGTTGTTAATACTATTCAGGACAGACAGCAAACTTGAGCAGGTAGATTTAGGTCTTTTGTCCCAAGCCAAAAGACATGGGAGCGTTTTTGTTTATATGTCTGAACTTGAAGCATGAGGGTATAAAATTCTGTCCAGAGAAGAATGGTGGGAATCTAGCCATGCATATATGATTAGTAATTACTGATAGTAGAACTGAAAGTTGACATATTCATCTTTCAGCACATACCATATTGCATGTCTGCGAAGTTACCCATACAAGGGACACTTAAAATCGGTCATAGCATGCACTACATTTAGCAATTATAATAAATAGAGACCCACATGTTATAAATATTCTTACTTTATGGATTGAGGGCACAAATATGCCAGCGATGCTCTTGTACAAAAGTGAATCACACATGCCCACCATATTGACCACAGCATTGCTGCCCAAGATGTCCATGAGATGCAATGGCACCCCTTTCCAGAAGTGTTGCAGAAACTCTTTCACCTGTAAGAAATTATAAATGAGCTTCTACTAGGTGCACTATAGCCCTATGTTAAATTAAATTATGATTCACAGTTTAAAGCATCACATAAGGAGAAACTTTGTGGTCATCTAGGTCATCTGGACTTGTCAGGATGGTGAAATCTTGAAGGTTAGTATGGGCTGGGATTATTGTAAAAGTAAAGCTATCCCTGTAACAGGTCTTGGAGCCCCATAGGGCTGTGAGGCATTGAGGCTTGCACATTTTCTAGACAGCTGGTTCACAGATGGCGGCAAGGTTGTCAGCCTTACGTGCCAGCCACCATTTACCCCCAGGAAGGTTCCTGGTACTCATTTCTGTCAGAGGCTGAGTCGACCCCAAGGCCATAATGCAACTGGAGACATTAGATCAATTGAAATATCCAATGACCCTAAGGGGCATGCGGTACTGTAGTTGGTTGAGGAACTATGCTTCAAGCCGGAAGGTTGTGAGTTAGATTCCTGATGAGGTCATCAGATTTTTCAGCCGACCTAATCCTTCCAGCCGCACTCTGGCTCTGGGGTTGACTCAGTCTCTAATAGGAATGAGTACTAGGATTCTTCCTGGGGCTTAAAAGGCAGCCGGTGCATAAGGCTGACAAACTCACCACCATCTATGAGCTGATTGTCTAGAAAATATGAAACCTTGATGTCTTACAACCCTATGGGTCTCCATGGCCTGTTACAGGGCTGGGATTATGATGATTGTAAATAGTGAAATGGGAATGATGCAGTCATGGCCTATTTCAGGTACATTCCAGCACTGACCTGGATGAACTATGGATATTCACAAGAGAAATCTCAGGCAGTGTAGTTATCCTTTAGACTGAGAATCAAACCCAGGACATTATAATATGCAGGAGGAGAGGCCTGGTCTTAGTTGGAGGATGATATTGTCTGTTTCTTAGTTTATTTATGTATTTGACCTCACTCATGATGTAGTCATATGCTGCGATTGAGGGAACCTTTGGATTCTGGAAGATCTGAAAATGTCAAGGTAGTAAGTAAAACCTATATGTCACTTTCTTTGTGACCATCAACACAGTTATTGTTCTTGGTGTCAGATGTGTTTATTAACTTTTTTTATTGCTAGTGGGGTGGGACTAAGTCCCTTGTACTGCAGCCACTTCTGGCCTATTGTACCAGCCCCAGATGATAGGTGATTGTGGAGCAATTAGTGGAATGAAGCTTGGCAGGGGAAACCAAAGTACTCGGAGAAAACCTGCCCCAGTGCCACTTTGTCCACCACACATCCCACCTGACCAGACCCGGGATCGAACCCTGGCTGCCGTGGTGGGAAGCCAGCAACTATCCGCTTGAGCTATGGCACAGCCTGTATTTATTAAATTACTTCCACAACATGTTCACAGTTATCTTTGTTAGGCTGTCACTGGAAAGACTAAGAAGGAAATTTGAGAATAATATTAAGGTGGATTTAAGAGAGATGGTATGGAGTGGTAGGTGGATGGAATTGACTCAGGACTGTTTTCAGTGACAAGCTGTGGTTTTATAGCAGTGCTCAACCTTTAGGTTCTACTAGAGGGAGTTGGGCAGCAAGCTAACACGTTAGTTTGTTAGGTACTTAATTAATTAATTTGTTTGTTTGTCAGCCTGCCAGTTAATTAGTTAATGGGTACAATTACCTCATCTAGCTCATTCCTATAGATGAAGTTGAAGACTCGTAGGCAGTGTGTGCGATACATTGTGAAGAAGGAGCAGAACAGTTGATGAGGTACGCCAACTGGTAGAGACACATCTTGAAGGTTTGGAAATTCAAGTATGGGAGCAGTTGTTGAGGGCAAATTTGTCCTCGGTGAGGTAGGAGTCATCATCATCCCAGAAGAGGCCTGAAAGTACAGGAAGGTATCGAACATTTCTTTCTAACAGGGTAAAATCTTCTTACAAGTAATGTCCTTTAATTCAGTGGTGACATTTCCTATTTGGCTTTCTGTCTTCTTGCTGTTTAGGTCTGCTTCTGTTCTGATGCTTAACGTTCTTGTGTTCGCATCCTATTGATTTTTGTTCACATGCACAGTGTGAGTGACATTACATTTTCTGAATTTGCTGAGATACATAATGAAGATGTTAAAAATTATTTCCCAAGTGATTTCAGTTTGAATCCAAATACTTCAAAAAGGTAAAAAGTAAAGCTATCCCTGTAAGAGGCTGTGAAGGCCCATAGGGTTGTGAGACGTTGAGGGTCCCACATTATCTAGACAATCAGCTCAAAGATGGTAAAGTTGTCAGCATTATGCGCTGGCCGCGCTTTACTCCCCAGGAAAATTATTTTTAATTAATTCCTAGTACTCATTTCTGTTAGAGGCTGAGTCGACCCCAGGGCCATAGTGCGGCCAGAAGGATTAGGTCAATTGAAAAAATCCAGTTACCTCATCAGGACTTGAACCCGTGACCTTCTGGCTTGTAGCATTGTGCCTCAACCAACTACACTACTGCTAAAATATATTCAAGGTGTAATGCCATCTCTGATCCATAAATGCAGCACTAAACTTAAAGTGAATGAACTTCATTAGTAGATCTGAAGACTCATTATATCAAATATCACTTCTTCATATTTTGGAGTAGATTATAATACATTTTCTGATCTCCTCCCATGAGGGAAAAATTACTTCCATAGAGAGTGTAAAAAACTGTAAGGACTTAACAATTTTGGACCAAAGGCACCAGTGCATCTCTTTAAGGTAGACCCTACATAATTAGTGTGTAATACACATTGTCCATCCAAGTTCCTCTGCTTTGAAAATAAGAAATTTGTGGAAAATCCAGTTGACATATTGGACCCCTCAAGTGATCACTTTTCAGCAATACAATGGTAATTAACAGTCTATCAGACATACCATTGCTACATATAATATTGGCTTGTGAGCAGAAATTTTGTCAACAGATACATAACTTATAGGCCTTTCATAACATTGGCACAATAAATAAGTAATTTTACTATTTTAGTACACTTAATTTAAAAGTTGAAGAAAGAGTACTTTCATTAGCTTACAATAAGAAAATATTTAAGTGCTGTTAACATAATAGAACATGTAGGAGGGGCAGTCAGTAAATAGGTCACAAATGGATATGAAATGTAAAATATGTGATATTCAAACCTGGAAAAACATTACTGACATATCGTCCACCAAGATTCAAACACTTGTCCCATCGCTTAATCAGTGTGTCAAAACCTGCAGTACATAAGTCTTCTGACTGCTGTCTCAGCCTCTTTTGTACCTCTGTGTCAGCTTCTTTGTCATCAGCAAAACGTTTGCCACCAAGGTGGTTCTTTTAATGGACCATACAAATGGAAGTCATCAGGGGCTAAGTCCAAGCTGTAAAGCAGATGGATGTTCAAGAAGTTCTAATTGTAGTTCCTGAATTGTCTCCTGGGTTGCTCAGGCTGTGTGGGTTATTTCATTCTCATGATGAAACGGTACACCTCTTGCCAGTTGGCCTAGACGTTTTCTGCGAATTGCATCCCCAAGTCTCGACAGAACTTCACAGTATGATGCAGAATTCACATTTTCACCACACTTCTGATAATGGTCCAGCAGTACTCCCTGAGAATCCCAAAATACATTAAGCATAACCTTTCCAGCTGATGACAAAACTTTAAGCATTTTGATTGATGGTGAACTGGGATGTTTCCATTGCATTCAAGCACGCTTTGATTCGGGTTTGTGGTTGTGCACCCATGATTCATATTCTCCTTCAGCCGCATACCGTGAGAGATGATGCAAGGACAGACTCATGTGGTTCATTTTTTCTTGATCCTTCATTTCTCTGGGCACCCACCTTGCGCACCATTTCTGAAACTTGAAATGGTCATGCATTATGCTGCATGCTAAACCTCAGGAACACCCTAGAGCAGTTGCTACACTGTCTATTGTTATCCTTCTTCCTGCCTGAATGAACTCTTCCACCTGCTGCACAGTTGCTTCTGTTGCAATCTCAACAAGGCGACCTGGTTGGCCATCATCTGCGACTTTTTAACGTCCTTGAGAGAAATTTTCGACCCAGTTATGAAGTGATTTATGCGATAAACACTTCCCACCATAAACGGGAAATATTTCCTTATGAATATCCTTTGCATCGAGTCCTTTTACCCACAAAAAGAAAAAAAAAAATAGCGCACAACAGAACGCTGATCTTCGGTAGTACACACCTCAAGTACAATCGCGATTTTGACCACTGAAACCACCCTCTGAACATGAGAATGTTACACATAGGTAACCTATTACATATATTACGTGTGCTTTACTTCCATTTATGACCTGTTTACTGACTCTCCCTGCTATTAAAGTCAGTCGCCGTTGCATTTTGGGTAGAATCGGGCCATATAGGTTTTAATATCATAGCAGATATTTTTATATTATGTCACATGTTAAGCAGTGGTGAAACGTGACTTTTTCAAAAGCGTTAGCCAGCTTCAGAAGCAGAGAGAGGCTCTACTTTGTGAACTCGCAAGCTGCTGAAATGTGTTAACATTCCTCGTTTGGCTAACTTGTTAGCTTGGAATGTCATGCAGTACCTCCATCCCTCATGCCCCTAATTACGCCGGCGCTCACAAACGGCTAACATAAGCCTGTAGGAGCTAACAGCGCCTGTGATGGGCAGGTTGGAGGTGGCAGACGATGTCTTATCTGATCGCTTCTTCTGCTAGTCTGTGGAGAACCGCTAAACCATGAAAGTAACATTTTTATTTAATTTTTTAAGTGTCAGCCGGGCGGGGCACGTGTTAGCGTAGTTGGTTGAGTCAATATGCTACAAGCCGGAAGGTCACTGATTCAAGTCCCGATGAAGTCATTGGATTTTTTCAATTGATCTAATCCTTCCAGCCGCACTATGGTCCTGGGGTCGACTCAGCCTCTAACAGAAATGAGTACCAGGAATTAATAAATAATTTTCATGGGGAGTAAAGGGCGGCCGGCGCGTAAGGCTGACAACCTTACCGCCATCTATGAGCCGATTGTCTAGAAAATGTGGGAACCTCAACATCTCACAACCCTATGGGCCTCCACAGCCTGTTACAGGGATACCTTTACTTTTTTTTATTGCTAGTGGGGTGGGACTAAGTCCCTTGTCCTGCGGCCACTTCTGGCCTATTGTACCAGCCCCAGGTGATAGGTGAGGGTGATTGTGGAGCTACTGGTGGAATGAAGATGGTCAGGCGAAACCGAAGTACTCGGAGAAAACCTGCCGCAGCGTCACTTTGTCCACCACAAATCCCACTTGACCAGACCCGGGATCGAACCCGGGCCGCCGCGGTGGGAAGCCAGCGACTAACCGCTTAGCTATGGCGCGGCCTATACCTTTACTTACTTTTTACTTTAAAATGTCAGCCGGGCTGATACGGTTAGCATGAACGCTACTCGACTGGTGTCAAGTTTCATCGATTCATCGTCTATTTTTATCCTGACAAAACATCCTGGCGGTGTTGATATTTTTCATTTTACTAAAATAAATTATTGAAATTAAAGTTGCATCCTTTTCAGACCTGGTGCCATACAAAATTTCATTGTTTCTATAGGATGATGTGGCAGTCCAATGTTCGATTTATTATATTGCTATTACGTTAGGCGTTGTCCGTTGTTTGAGATACAGCTGATATACACGAGGTTTGGGAAGTCCGCTCTACTGCCGTTTTCAGGCGATTGTCATTAGCTATTTACTTACTTACTTACTCATGGAGCTGAGCCCTTCTGGAGGAGCCGCCAATTCTGCAGCTACTCAAGAATTTCCCAGCATTTTATGGAACCCGAAGGTTCATTGCCGTGTTCACAAGAGCCCTCCACTGGTCCCTATTATGAGCCCGATCTATTCAATCCATACCATCCCATCCTATCTCTCTAAGATTCATTTTAATATTGTCCGCCCACCTACGCCTTGGTCTTCCCAGTGGTCTCTTCCCTTCTGTCTTTCCCACCAATATCCTATACGCATTCCTCGTCTCCCCCATTCGTGCTACATGACCTACCCACCTCATCCTCCTTGACTTGATCATTCTAATTATACTTGGAGAAGAGTACAAGTTATGAAGCTCCTCATTATGCAGTTTTCTCCAACCTGTCACTTCATCTCTCTTCGGTCCAAATATTCTCCTCAACACCCTGTTCTCAAACACCCTCAGTCTATGTTCCTTCCTCAATGTCAGAGACCAAGTTTCACACCCATACAGAACCACAGGAAAAATTATAGTTTTGTATATCTAATTTTTATGTTTTTGGACAACAGACGAGAAGACAAAAGGTTCTGGACTAAATGGTAGCAAGCATTACCCGAGTTCAATAGCCTCTTAATTTCCTCCTGAATCAGGTTTCGATCTGTTATCATTGTTCCCAAATATCTGAAGTGTGCCACATTTTCAAAACATCTGTTCCCTATCGTTATGTCATGATTTTGCCCTGCATTTTGGTGACGAGACAGTAACATACTATACTTAGTTTGCTCTGTGTTTACTTCTAGACCAACCTCTTTACTTGCGTCAATTAAAGTTTGTGTGTTTTTCTTTATGGTATCTACATTATCACCCAGTAGATTCACATCATCGGCGTAGACCAACAGCTGATGTGTACCATTTAATTTCAGTCCCACATGGTTTCCCTGGACCTTCCTAATTGCATAAATTGAAAAGGAGTGGTGATAAAGCATCTCCTTGTTTTAGACCATTCTGGATAGGAAATTTATCAGACAAATGTTTACCTACACGGACTTTACTATACGTTTCATTTAAACACATTTTAATCAACCTAACTAGTTTCATGGGTATCCCAAACTTTATTAGAATATTGTACAATACTTTCTTCCTAACTGAATCATAGGCTTTCTTGAAGTCTATGAATAGCTGAAGTACTGTCTCATCGTACTCCCATTTTTTCTCAAATATCTGACGAATGCAAAAGATCTGATCTGTTGCGTCGAAACCCACACTGATGATCCCCAATAATTTAATCTATATATGGACTTAACCTTGAAGGAAGAATGTTGGACATAATATTGATATATATTTTTTTAATTCTCAGCGTTAGTGGTTACGGTTGGGATCGAGTCCCGGGCACTTAAATATCAGGCAAGTATACCCCAAAAAGTGATAAAATGTCAGTCACTATAGAGACAGACATTTAAGAGACTTGAATAGAAATTACTACCGAATCGTCATAGATCATTCAGTACTTCAGGCATTGGACATCGTTTAGAATATCCGATTTGGATGCGCTAACAGCTTAATATTCAAACCGAGTTAAATTCATGCTTATTTCTGGAGATGACTCCCTGGGTTACGGAAGCATCCTAACATCTCTGCACATGCGCACACACTCTTTGCATTTAAAGTCGCTTCATGTCCGATCTATAATTTATTTGGCGTTAACTATGCATTTCACGAGGATCCCAGGGAAAACGGTTTTTACAATGCAAATTAGAGAAACAGGTTAACTTACCTGACCGTTGGCTCCCCTTTTTCCTTGCATGCTAAAATAATTGAAAGGAATTACAGGTATATAATAACTGAAATGCGGTACTCTAAGTAACGAAATTTTATGTCCATAGTTGTACTGACTATATTATGATGTTATTAAACATGTAGACATTAATTAAGAGCGAAACTTTAATTAGTTCTATGTACACAATATTGTTTATACATTTAGTTGAAAGAACAAGAACGTAAGTGCAGAAAGGAAAATGTTAAAGTGTTCATGGTGCGTGGCAAGAATGACACTTTGGGGGAGAAGGAAGCAACACCCAGAACCATTAATTTAAAAGAAATGGCCACTGGAAATGTACAAAACCATTTTGTAATTTGCAGTTTTATTCTCATAAGATTAGTTTAACTAAGGAGAATATGACATTGTTACCGTCCCTTATGTCTGTGGAAAATGTCAGTATCAAGATAATTAACGAGTATGTTATGGAGCCGTGTGTAGTGAAAGAAGTAATACATCTCCTTTATACCAGCGTACCTATCTTATCTATCACCCATTCGACATCTGCGTCAATTGTTATTATGTCACACATCATTACGTTCAAGAGAACTAACCTACCCCTACACCTCCCTGAGTGTTTACAAGGAGCTTACGTGTCCAAGTCCATTCATTCTACGACCCAAGGTAAAATGTAAAGTTTTCCTGTGCTTAACTAATAAGCACTACGTCATGAAGGCATATGGGGGAGTGGACGTATAGATCAACATTTTCTTGAACTTGGCACTAGCTGGAGGTGAGTGGCCAGCTTCACGCCCCGGTCGCTTTACCCCCGGGGAAGAAGCGCCCGGTACCCATTCGATAGGAGGTTGGGTGGACCCCAGAGCTGGTCTGGACGACGAGGAGGAAAGAAAATTTTTGACCCTACCGGGACTCGAACTCCGACCCCTCGGTCGTCGAGCCCGTAGTCAGTCGCTAGACCGACTACGCTATCCCGTCTCCCTGAACTGCTGTAGGTTACGCTTTGTGTAAGCAAGTTTTCGGGTTGGGGGAGCCCTGTATAAGTTTGAAGAAAGCAGTCTTCTGGGATTTGGCACCGTGTATATGTGGTGTTAACCGACGTTTCGGAGGAACGTATCGCCCCCATCTTCAGGGTAGAAGAAAAAGTATAAGAAATCTGCAAGCGACAACACCGTGAGAAACGGTAAAGCAGACTGTGGAAATATACACAGCTATGTGAGAGCAGAGAGTGAAGGGGGGAAGGGCAAGTAAACAAGTGAAAACAGTGGTGTGGGAGGGGTAGGGGAAGGGAGCTGGGACAAGCGTGATTTTGTGTAGGGGAGAGAATAGCAAGGTTAAAAGGCTCTCCGAAACGTCGGTTAACACCGCATATACACGGTGCCAAATCCCAGAAGACTGCTTTCTTTATAGTCACCGCCGTGAAAGCCTCAAATCTTACTTACTGTATAGGTTTGTTAGAACTACCAATCGGTGTTAAGAACACTGGAAGTGTGTTTAAAATAGCAACATTATAATGATGACGTAACGATTTACGTCTCGAATTGGCCATGACGCACTTTCGTTCCCATAGTACACGCAGATTGAGCATATCTGCAAACAAAGAACTATCTTCCGGGATATAATGCAGTGTAATCCGCTGAAAATCAACCGACGTTTCGGAGGAACATATTGTCTCCATCATCAGGGTCAAATAAGCCGAGCAAGGAACCAGAGTGAATGCAGGTAATGAGCCGGCTTGCCACCTGCTTTCACTCTGTTTCGGCCCTGAATATGGAGGAGGTATGTTCCCCCGAAACGTCGGTCGACTTTCAACAGACTACGTGGCGTTATGTCCCAGAAGATGGTAGTCCTCATAAACACCGCTGTGAGAACCTCAAATGCTACAAACAAAGGATTCCTGCTGCGGGGATAAATAAGAACCCCGAGGGAGGCTATAGCAGTTAAGAACTGCTGAGGTAGGCCAGAAAAGTTGTTTAACGTAGCAAGGAACCACAGTCGTACAGAATTTCGGGCTGAGGAATGAGCAGGTGTAGGCCTAATATTTAATCAGTAGAAATGGCAAACTGTTATGGAAAGAGAGGGAGAGAGAGAAAGTGCTTTCCATATTAAACTCAGAACAGAAGGGGGGCTAAAATAAAGGAGTAGCCTAGTCACAACATAAAATCCGAATTTCTGACCTGTTGTTCAGTCCATTCCGACTGTACTTTTCCTCATAGTACACGGAGAAGCTTCGAATCCCAATGCCGTAGTAATGATAAGTTGAGTAGCCTCTTGTTCCAAGACGCCTGTTTTTCACCCTCTTGAACTTCTGGCGAATAATCTGCAAAATATATTGATATTTAGTATGGTATGCGTGTAACAGTTTCAGTACAGAACATTTTATCTTCTCATCTGCAGCCTAAAAACATAAAAATTAGAATATAAAAGACTTTAATTTTGCCTGTGGTTCTGTGTGGGTGTGAAACTTGGTCTCTGACATTAAGGGAGGAACATAAACTGAGAGTGTTTGAGAACAGGGTGTTGAGAATATTTGGACCGAGGAGAGATGAAGTGACGGGAGGTTGCAGAAAACTGCATAATGAGGAGCTTCGTAACTTGTACTCTTCTCCAAATATAATTAGAATGATCAAATCGAGGAGGATGAGGTGGGCAGGGCAAGTAGCACGAATGGAGGAGACGAGGAATGCGTGTAGGATATTGGTGGGAAAGACAGAAGGAAATATAGACTACAGGGAATACCAAGGCGTAGGTGGGTGGACAATATTAGAATGGATCTTAGAGAGATAGGATGGGATGGGATGGTATGGATTGGATAGATCTGGCTCAGGATAGGGACCACTAGATGGATCTTATGAACACGGCAATGAACCTTGGGGTTCCATAAAATGCTGGGAAGTTCTTGAGTAGCTGCACAATTGCGGCTTCTCAAGAAGGGCTCAGCTCCATGAATGAGTGAACGAGCGATCTACAGTTCTTTGAGCAAGAAGGTAAAGCTATCCGTGTAACAGGACGTTCTTTGAACAAAGTACATAAAATTGAATCGTTGGCTAACGGATGGTTGCTCAGACGGCGGGGTTTGCCAAATTCTGAGGAATAATTTAAAATGCAGTTGTATCCAGGCACAATTTTGGCAGTTCAGTAAGATTTAATGTAGATGTTTTCGGAATACACAGCAGCGAGGCGACATATTTCGCAAATTTCTTCTCTGACTGTAGAGGAACATTTTATTGCTGTGGGTGTAGAGAGGTTTTAAAGATATGCAGGTTCCTGCTGCCACCGTACAGCCTCACAGGGACTTCCTGAGATGTCGATAACTGGACTTTTCGCTGATCGATAGCCAAGGGGCTCGCATAAACTTATGTCTTGTTTGAGGAAGGTGGAGTATGAAAAGAGTCCAGAACTCCTGGGTTAATGGGCAGTTCGCGTGTTTCTGACCACATGCCTTGTCTCAAAAGTCGCGTAACAGATTGTCATTAAATATTGTATAGGCGAATTTGCTTTTAAAGTCGTTGATAGAATTTCTTTCTGCCTGTGTTGATCCAGCATAGTTTGTACTTAACATGTCGTTGGAATTGAATTTCATAATTTGTATAAAAGAAGAACGCTTTATGATAAAAAATATAATTGAAAAATATAGAATAATATTAGGAACTGCAGTTTTACTTTAAACGTTTTTCTCACTGCTGTGTCAGGGCTGTCATATTCTTGATCAGCTGAGCGACTATTAGCTGCTGCTCAAGAAGGACTCGTCTATAATTGGGTGAACGGACCCAATAACGCTACTTCTTTTACGTTTTTGCAATTCATAATGTACACTTTAATTCCTTAGATATAAGTTGCATGTACTTTCTTAGAAAACATTAATTTTATTCATATATTAATAGAGATATATTACATTTGAAAATATCAAACGACGTACGGCATCCATGTGGGGTACACAGTAAACCCTCTCTATCCGGCGTAAGCGGTAATCCGAATTAGAGGAGCAGATATGAGAGAAATTCTGGCTTTGTTGGAGCCGTGGAGTTCTTGAATCCGCTTACCGAATGCTGTGAGATAGATGCGGCGCCATTAAATCGGCAACAGTGAGGGCATTGAGGTATGCAGAATTGCCAGCCTCGCTTGTGGAAGGTTAACTATTGATATTTTCAGTTCTTTTATGCAAAGCGATAGAGAGCTGCAAGGAGGAGTCACTGGCATCAGGAGTAAGGAGGTTGTGGTGGCCAGTTGCCCTCCTGAAATGTACGATCTATCTGCATAGGCCAGTGTTTTCCAGGATGTCCATAATGAAGCTCCTTAAACTTAACATTCTAATTGTCCTCCCTCTCCAAACTTCAGTTTTAAAATAAACAGATTTTTGACTTTATCAATGCAGAATACAATGCAGTTCTCGCAGTTTATTGCATTTTTTTTTTCATTGGCGCTACAGTCCTCATTTGGGCCTAGGCCTACTTCCATGAGACTCTCCGTTTCACTTCGGTTTTACTAGATCTTAGTGTCATGTAGTGCGACATCAGGTAGCAAAAGGTGTAGTGTAGTGTATTGTAGTGTAGTGTAGTGTGATGTAAGTAGTGTGATGTAGTATGGCATAGGTAACAAATAGGTAGTAGTTACAAGGGATAATTTGATTCTTTTAGTGAACATGACAAGTGTCATAATCTGAATATTTCCCAAGAAGTTAGTCATGTATTGACCTCGACCTCTGATAAGACCGTCACAAAAACACATGTTGTGACTAGACAGAAGGGTTGAGAAGTATCTCGGCCCGGGTTCAAAAGATCTTACGACCAGCTGTGCAACTGCTCATTATATCCTTGTATGTTAAGAAATGATACATTGAACTTAATTGTAAAATGTAAGTGTGATATACTCGTAAGAAGTAAGTTTTAGTGTGTGAAAGAGGAGAGACCAACAACATCTGGTCGAGTGTACATCCAGTGTACTTGAAGATCTACTTATTCTGTTTCTGGAAATTATAACTAACTATTTTCTACACTTAACTTTCTTCATCCTTCGACTCTAGCCAAGGCAGAGTCCTTATCCTACGAATTAATTGGAAGTTTTTATAAGAAGATCATTATACGACGTCTTATGGTGATGCCCCGAAGAGATCACCTCGGCTACGCGACATTAGACATACGGTAGGACTCCTTGGGCGGGTGATCAGCTCGTCGCAAGGCCTCTACCTGTACACAAACACAGAAAAACGCGCACACACAAACTAAACATCCATGCCCTGAGTGGGATTCGAACCCACGATCCCGGCTTCCGAGCGAGCGAAGACAGTGCATGCCTTAGACCGATCGGCTACCGTGACCGGTCCAATTTATTGCATTTTTCTTTCCTTGGCACTACAGCTCCAGTGGGCCTAGGCCTACCTCCATGAACTTCTCCGTTCACTTCGGTTTTTCTAGATCTTACACATTCGGTAGGACTCCTTGGGCGGGTGATCAGCTCGTCGCAAGGCCTCTACCTGTACACAAACACAGAAAAACGCGCACACACAAACTAAACATCCATGCCCTGAGTGGGATTCGAACCCACGATCCCGGTTTCCAAGCGAGCGAAAACAGTACATGCCTTAGACCGCTCGGCTACCGTGACCGGCAGTTTATTGCATTTATCCGCATAAAATTATTAATTAATGTTTAATTATGTCGAACACTCTCAGTGACGTAGTTTTACCCTCATATTTGCAAAAAACAAAAAAAAATTATTCGACAGACATATTTTGGGCCGTACTTTCTGCATTTCTATATATATTTCTTTTTGTGTGTGTGTGTGTCGTTTCTGTATTTCACCTTGGCTTCAGCCCCATTATCTCTGTCTTTCTTATTTTAACCTCTCAAAAATGTATCCATCGTTGCAAGAGTTTCCAGTAGTAAGAAACTTAGCGTAAACATAAACTTTATCACAGTTTTTCATATTAATAGATTACAAAGTAGTTTTGCGTGTTAATATGTAACACTGAACCAACACAGCATCATATTGTGAGCGTACTATATCAAAGTTCAGAGAGAAATGCGGGTTGCGTAAATGGCTGCATTTGGAAGGAATTACGATTTTTGCTCGGCTCAGGTCAGACAAAGTAACTCAAAATGCCAGTGACAGCGTTGCCAGATACCAACATCGAATAGCTCTCTGTTTTTGACGTTCGATTTCGAAGAGTATAAGAGATGTGATGACTGAAGGAAGCTTGTAACTGAACGGAACAATCTGGTCGCTATGAGGGTCATGTTTCCGAAAGCAGTGCACGAAATTAAACAATAGTTTTAAGACATTGTGAGAACTATAATCAATTTAATATTATTATATATAACTTTGTGCCTCCTGCAACGAACTAGTTGTCCCCAAAAGTGGCCCTCCCATAATTTGGAAAACACTTGCCCAGGATGTAATCCAAGTTTATGCAGCCAGTCACCAAATTTGATATATTTCAAATTTTTATTTGCAGGTTTCTTTCTAATTATTCCGTTCAACTAAATTTTACGTAACAGGACCACAGCTGGTAACCATAGTCGCCATGTTTGGGTCTCGGGTTTAAATTTCAGTTGTTAGTTGACTGTGAACGGAAGTAAATACGAATGCTGTTGCTGCTAACCACTCTATCGCCATACAATAGGAGTTTTGCAGTTCTCTTATGGATCTCTCCCAGTTCAGGTAACGATCAGACCATGGGGTAGTAATTCCACAGTGCCTGATCACTGAGGATTATTACTGGCAACATAGGTTCTCACCTTACCAAAGCTTGCTGGGTTTACAGGTGTCATGCCATTCTTCTGACAAAAGTCGCGGTAGTGTTTGTAGATGACACTGCGAGGAATACACACTCCTTCAGCGAACTCATAGTTCTCCGATAGCCATCTGAGTGTAAGCGGTGTTGAATGGGGGATGACTTTGTTGTCGTACTGCATTACCGGCTGTGTCATTTCTTCACCGCCCATTATGTTGTAACTGGTCTCTCTCGCCGGCTCCGCTGTGAACACTTCATCAGTTCTGTATATCACCACTTCTTGACAAGTTCTAGAACCACGAATGTCTGGGCGCAGTTAAGTTAAGAGCAAGGTACAGTCAAATTTACTATAGGATTCTGACGATGGTGTATAACACACTGATATATTGGGTTTTTGGACTTTATCCATCGTCCTGGTTTTTAAGATAACAAATAAAAACACGACCTTTCGGAAACAGATCCAGTTTCCGAAACGTCGTGTTTTTATTTGTTATCTTAAAAACCAGGACGATGGATAAAGTCCAAAAACCCAATATATCAGTACAGTCAAATTTGCTTGTTGGGAAGGTGGAGATAAAAGCTCCATGCATTCTAGACCCTGGCTTTTGATAGGGTGATTGGTGAGAATTATGCTTCATCTCGGTATTTCTCGGGAAGGAGTTGTGAGTACACGTTGGACAGGATGTTGGGTAGGCCCCAGTAGGTCCCAGTGGTGACAAAGAAGAAAATACTACCGAGAATTAAACTCCGGTCGCCGAGTCCGTAGCCAATTGCTTTTCTAAGATACTGATGGCCGAATAGAACGGAACTTGTTTTACGAGAGTAGAAATAAGAATTATTGTACACATTTTCTCATATCCCTATGCCAGTAAAGTGAAAATATTTATAACCATACTTAACTAATTAAGCACTACGCCATTAAGACGTATGAGGGAGTGGCTGTATAGCTCCACGTATTCCTGACCTGGGCAATAATTGGAGGCAAGTGGTTAGCTTCACACCTCAGCCGCTTTACCTTCGGGGAAAGAGCCCCCGGTACCAATTCGATAGGAGGTTGGCGGGACCCCAGGACCGGTCCGGACGACGCATAGAAGAGAAAAATCTCGCCCCCACCGGGACTCGAACTGAGGCCTCTCAGAAGTCCAGCACAGAGCCAGTCGCTGTACCGATTGCGCTATCCCGGTTCTTCCATATGCTAGTGCTATCCATATACTTAACAACAGAATTTTAGAATTACGTGGTATGTCCTGTCATTCCAGTCACTTATTGCTATCAGACGTTTTGAATGATTCGACCAGATGAAAATGGGCCTAGTCGCAAAGTTTGATCGGAGGTAGATTTATTGAAAGATACTTTACAAATTTAGCAAATACGCCATCCTCTGGCTCTAATAATACTGCTACCTAGAAACGTTTTGGCAAGTACACTCATTATTCTCAAGTTTTTAAGTTTGCCTGGGTAGTGAGTGTTTCGATTATAGTATTCCATGATTTGTACAACACTTTCAGTGCCTTAAATTGGATCAGGGGCCCAGCTAGACTCATGTCACCCTAACTACATTGCAAACGTTCAGTATATGTCGTTAAGGGACTCATACTTGGTGGCCAGCACTCAGTAACGGCCCACTTTTGACTTGCCCCTATTTGTGATTCATTATGTTAAGGCTCAAATTGATGGACTTGGTACCTGTCCCTTTGGGTGTGTCCACACCAAACCGGCAGAGTGCAACAGAATGGATGCACGTCATTGAAGCAACGTCATCGTGGACACCAGCTCCGATCCGCATCTCACTTCCATCCTGAGCCCCTCCGAGAAGAATGCACTCGTTAATCTCGTCCATTACAGCATCAGGTATGGGGCCCAGGCTTGCGAGTTGACAGCTGGGCATATCGACCCTGCTGTCGGCATTCCGGGCCCATTGCTCTGTTAAGAAAACAAATATGGTAAACATACAGCGTATGTGTAAATGGAACATATTTTAGGTTCTTACACAACAGTCAAGTAAAAAACTACATGGACCAGGCTCCCTTTTGTGAACTGGTAGTCGCTCATCTGGTCAAGAACTTTACCACCTGTTACGGAATCCAAAAACAGATTCATTATCGTGTTCGCAAGATCTCACCCTCTGTGCTGAACCCTTTTACTTAAGGCGAGGAAAACATCTGTTTGCATGGGAGGGGGTTGCATAATTTTCGCGGAATACGCGGTTATAGTCGAATGCGATGTGACTACACAGAGCGGGTATTCGAGACTGTGGACTTCATCACATGATTCTTTGGTAACACTGAGACTGATTAAACTTTCGACCGACATGATTTTCGCTGAAACCCAAATGAATTTGAATGTGAAAGGGCCGTGCCATAGCTCAAGCGGTTAGTCGCTGGCTTCCCACCGCGAAGGCCCGGGTTCGATCCCGGGTCTGGTCAAGTGGGATTTGTGGTGAACAAAGTGGCGCTGGGGCAGGTTTTCTCCGAGTACTTCGGTTTCCCCTGACAATCTTCATTCCACCAATTGCTTCACAATCACCCTCACCTATCATCTGGGGCTGGTACAATAGGCCAGAAGTGGCCGCAGTACAAGGGACTTAGTCCCACCCCACTAGCATTAAAAAAAGTTGAATGTGATGCGACAACTTGGAATGGAGTACACGAAACGGTGGTCAAGTCACGGCAGGTACAGCCAGTATCACGCTGCCTCGATGTAAATGGACTGTGCTGTGTTGACGTCATCCTCACATTAGTATTTCATGTGGTAGGCGACATTTGATTCTCATTTTGCTTTTATTGTTGTTTTATTTCCCATATAATTTAGCAATAATTTAAAACGGCGTATTTACATTCGTACTACAACAGTTTTCGTTATTACAACCATAATACATGCAACGAAGTTCTTATTATTTTGTGTGTAAATTGAACTTGCTGTGCAGATCTGACGTACAGTATATATATACACAGGAGTATTTTATGCATGATGGCATGAATTAGCGAGTTACAACACGTATGTATAGGTATGACCGCCTTTGTGGTCTAGTGGTCAGAGTTCCTGGCTACAGATCCAGAGTTCCCGGGTTCGATTTCGATTCCCGGCTCTACCAGATTTTATGAGAAGTAGTGGATCTGGAACGGGGTCCACTCAGCCTCTGAGGATAATTGAGGAGAAATAGCGGCTCCGGTCTAGAAAACCGAGATTCACGTCTGTGGGGATCCGTTGCGTTGACGACGCGACACCCTGTATCCTCTAAAGTTGGCATTAACTTCGCTGATAAGCGGCGGTCGCTCGGTGGTATAGTTCGCTTGCAGACTACAGGCCACGGAGTTTGATTAGTTTTTTTTTGCAACTATAATACGAAATACTTTTGTGACGAAAGAAATACAGAATTCGCACCTCTGCCACCAGTTAATATGGGGCATAACATCAGTATAGGAATACCTGACAACGACAAGCGTACGCTGATGTTGGTTCATGAAAGTTGACGTTCATTGATGCCAGATATCGCGGCGAACCGCAAAGTGTTTGCTGCACACGTGGTTGTGTAAGGTGAAGATCTTAACGCTTTCTGTTACAGCTGTTCGCAAAGTTAAACGCTACAGGATTATGGCCACAGAGGGGAATTTGGCCAGTGGATGCTACAACATCCTGAGGATTGAAACTTTCAGGACTAATAATGTTGTACTGCAGCATCCTGTTGCACGTAACTTATTTTCACTTCTTATTCACCTTCTCACATACAAGATTAAAAAAATTTTAAATTACTTTTCCCATTGCTGGTGCACTAAAGGAAATCATTTAAATACTGTACATTAGAAAGATACCACATACGTGTATATAAAATCAGCAAAGACAGCTTACATATGAATGACATATAGATTGATAAAAGTAATCCGATATTTGAAACACCGCAAGAACTAAACACTAGATAGCAGCACATGCCCCAACTACCCTATAAAAGAGAGCCAACTCCAGAAGACTCATAAACCATGTGGAGGTGTCTTCGAATGCCTACACCGTAGCCCTGCGATTCGTAGGAAGCGACGAAAAGGGAACCCAGTGCCTGAAGGTATAACTTGTCCATCCTCTTCCTGGGGATATAAACACGGGAACCTGGCCCTCCAGGTTTGGGGAGTCTCAAATCTGAGACAGTAAAATATGGTCATGAGTCCCGCGGGACACAGACACGAATGAATGCGCTGACGAGGACCAGCAGCAATTGTAAACGACAGACCTATCCTTTCTCTAGAGAGGATGTTGCATAAGGGCTATAACCGCAAGTGTTCAGTTGAAAAAAATATGGTCGTGGGTCTCAAGGGCTTGGCACCAAGACGAAGTGATTTGCGGTAGAGCGCTTCTGACTCTGACTCTCTGAAACACTAATAAAAGCTGCACACGACATGTAAGAGGAACGTCACTGCAATGCAAGTCAGTACACATCCAAAAAAATTCTAGAAAACACCAATGTACTCCATACGTAAAATACTAACACAGTGACTAACACATATTACAGATGTAAAGCGACACTAGGGCGCGAGAGCGAGTCTATACTTTGGAATTCTATACATTGACGGAAGTCAACAGCAATTTTCGAAGCACCTGATGCTGACAGTATCGATGGAATCGTGATATGAAAAATAATTCTAAAATTCAGAAGTGGAATTTAGGATTGAAACACAAGTTTGCATGTGAGACGGTGAGTAAGAAGTGAAAATTTCCTGACTAAATTCTTCGAAGCGATGAATCGACTTTTAAACAAGAGAGCATTGTCTGCATACACAATGAACATTACTGGACATTCCGGAGCCGCCATGTTGTCCGCGACTGTGTCATCATGGCGGACTGTGCGTGCGAGTCTCACCGCTTCTTCCTGCCTGACGTGCTTCTTCCACACATGCTGGAAGTCGTCCCATTGCACACATCTTCCAGTCTGCAGCCACCTGCTCAGGCTGATTTCTTCCTCACGGATTTCTTCTGCCCTGAAGATGGAGGCGATACGTTCTTCCGAAACGTCGGTTAACACAATATCTACACGGCGTCACATCACAGAAGACGTCATTTTTCAAAATGATCTAATTTTCATAAATTCAGAGACTTAAATGTGATACAGGCGCATGACATGGCGTGGGGTGAGACTGAGCCCACTTGGTAAGTCTGCCACAGATTTGCACAATCGTACTAGTTCCGGATGATATATGAGGGTGGGACATTTGGTGGAATGAGAATTGGTAGGCGAAACGGAAATATTCTGAGGAAACCTGCTATAGTGCCACTTTGTCCACCACAAATCACTCATGACTTGATCTTGGATCGAACTCTTTGTGTTCCAGATAGAATATTGTTGTCAAAACAAAATATTTTGTATTATTTTTTATACTGGCATTTATTTATTTATTTCAAAAATCTCGTTGGAGGCAGATGCTTAGCCTTCCCCCTTCGCCCCGTCGTTCAAGACAAGCGAGTATTATCGGATGAACAATTTTAAACTGTATAAAAATATATCTCTAGGTAATTTGAATTATAACATTAACAGTTTTCAAATTGGAGATTATATTTTTGATTTGAATGTAAGACCGAAATATATTAAGGCTAAAATATTAAAAAGGAGAAAAAAAACTCCATCAGTCACAGTGGACGGAATTAATTAACATTTATAAAATTGGAGATTATAAATGAAGGGGCCAATCATCAAATCTTTTTTATCGAAGTTATTTTCCTCTCTTATCCATCTCAATATGTCTTGTTGCTGATGAAGTCACAGATTTTGTTTCTCTACGGTTTCAGGATAACGCAATCCTTCGCACTCCATCTTAGTGTTACTATTCCAGACTTATCCTGTTTTTTTGTCCGAAGCAACGTCTTTCTTCTACGACGCTGGCAGTGACGTCGTGTTTATGTCCGTACTTTCGCTTATGGTGGGACAGAATCTGTCTACAATTGTTTTGTTGATGTTACTTATTTGCCCTCACAGTGACATCATTCATTTTTCTTCTGACATTTTGCCGTAACAAGAAATAATGTCTTTGTGACGATGTACCAGTAGGTTCAGTACTTTCCTTGTTAGACGTGGCCAGTGGGAACTGAATGCGCAGTGGATTTCATCATCCCAATGCAGGAATTAAGAAACGGATGAGCTGTTCAGGCAAGCACGAGCTTTGAGTGGGTCTCTCACCCTTCACTATGTTATTGCTAAGACAGTGAAATCTGACTATATATTCTGTATGTCTGGACTCGAGAAAATTGTTTTTGTGGTATGTGGTTATGCTAGATCTGAAACCTATGTATTTTTGTCACTTAAAACTCATCGTTCTTGTTCTATATTGTAACTCCATGGAGCCGAGCCCTTCTCGAGAAGCCACCAGTTGTGCAGCTACTCAAGAATTTCCCAGAATTTTAAGGAACCTGAAGGTTCATTATCGTGTTCACAAGAGCCCTCCACTGCTCTCTATTCCCAACCAAATCTTTTTCTATATTATAAAATTATTTTGACTCCTCTAAGCCATTTCCCAGATCCCTCCATATCTTCTTTTTATTTTTTGAAAGAATAGGTCTATAAAATTCAGTTGCTAAAAAACTAATTTATTTGCATGTAATCATTGAAATGCCTTATCAGGGGTGAACTCCGAAACTTAACGACCGAGGATGTGAAAATGTCCTGCTCGAACAAAGTTATCGCACTCCTTACGGGGCCGCAATACACGAGTATTCAATTCTTCTTGTGAGAAAATTTTGATAACCTCTAAATTCTGAAATTTCTTTGTAATGTTTTACCCAAGAGAGAAGAAAGGACAGGAGGCTGTAGAAAATCTCACGATGACGAGCTCCACAGTTTCTGCTATTCAGCAAATAATATTAGGACGATCAAACCACAGAGGATAAGATGGGAAGGACATGTAACACACAAGGCAGAGATCAGAAATGATGCAAAATTGTGGTCTGGAAACCTGAAGGGCAGAAGCGTGTTGAATATCTAAACATAAATG